TAAATCTAATTTTCGGCGTGCATCTTTGTTGCTCGAAATTTGAAAAGCCTCCAAACCTTTTCCAACCCTACTGATTCTTGTGGCTTGGATGCTTTCTGCATTGCTTCATCCAATTGTGAATCTTTGAGGTGCAATTTTTTAAAATTAAGTGATAATCTAAGAGGAAGGAAAGTTTCGGTATGCCGCGCATTGCCACTAGAAGCTGAAAATATTCTTTGCGATGTGCTTTTTGTTTAAAATATGAAGCAATTGATCACAAATGTTGGTTATAATTTGAGTAATTACATTACAGCGACGTCGGCTGTGAGTAAACAAAATTCGCGACTATCATACAAAAACAAAGAATACATTTAAGAACAAAATAACATATGAAGTCTTCAGCATAGTACAGTTTAATTACTATGTTATGAAAATACATTGGCGTTTCTTTAACATATATATGTAATAGGTTTTGTCATTAAATACAAATATTGATGCGAGAAAGTCGATTTTCTTTAATTTGCAGTCACAGAAATTGAATGTATTTTATTTCAATAAATGCAAATGTATATAACAAATTATATCGATTTTTAGTTACCAAAATCGACAAAAACGTTAACAAAATCAAAATATTAGTAGTGGGCTTCGTAGCCCCGCCTTTGATGACGCATCAGTCAGTTGGTATAGATAAGTCAAGCTGCACGAAGGTCGATGAAGGTATCATTTCAAACTCCAGCCTTCTTCAACGCAGAGGTACCGTGAATGACGAAATGTGAGTATCTTCTGTGTTCGTGGAAAGAATTTTGGTGTAAAACTGCATTAGGAATCGTTTCACACTCATGGTACTTTTATATAAACCGCGAAGGCCGAAGACCGGAAAATAAATTGTAAATTTGAAGAGTTCGAAGACTGCAACGTTTACACTTACATTACATTCATATTCTTCTATTGTGAATTATTTCGACTATCAGAAATAAATGTATGCAACAAAAACTTCAAGAAAAGTGAAGTTGAAATGATTTGAGTCCGGTCAGAAAGGCTATTATCTCGAATACCTACTGCCACATCACGACCCAAGAAATATCTGTGAAAATCAAGAATAGTAGATTGATATCCCTGATGATGATTCCTACACGGAAGCTAGGTACAACATAGATACACTTGCATGCCGTTTTTTATTATAGCACTTAGAGAGATTATACTCGTACGAAATACATTTTAATAGCAGTAAAATCAAGATTTTTCATACAATGCACGTATGGTGGGTGACATTACCTCGCCCTCTATGAAAATTGCGCCATCTTACTGGGGGAAATTGCAATGGAAGAAAGAAAACTCAAACAATATATTTTCAATTTTTAAACCATTAGAAGCTAATTGATCAAAGAGATATCACATACAAGTACATAGTTTTCTGAATGTCTATTACATTCGGAATGGACACACTTCGAGCACCACAAATAACTGCTGAGTAACAATAATTTCTTATTTTCTTTTCCCTACGATACATCAAGACTTATTTGCAGTTACAAATGATGATTTGAGTGTCACAAATTCAATTACCTGTAAACTTATTAAAACGACTGATTGATTAGTGATTCCGGGCACGTCAACTGCTATGGCCATTAGTTTCGCAAGAGCAGGGCATAATATTTTCGTGGTGGTGACCTTCGCCTATTGTAGGGCGAGATCCGGCGCCGACATACGTCCGCTAGCGGGTTTCCTCCCAATGTATCTTCCCACCAGCGGGACAGGCTCTAAGCTCTCGACTGGTCTCCCGCGAATGTAAACGTAAGAGTGTGAAAGTAAGGGGTGAATATAGAACCACGAAGGGGACGGGAGATCGCGCGTCCGTGGCCCGTTTGTTAGGGTACTGCTCCGGCATTCGCCTAGTGTTGATTGGAGAAACCACGGAAAACTACCGGTCGGAGCAGCCGTCCGCTAGAATTCTTCTCCAGACTGCGGCTGAACTCGACCTACGGAGCTGGGGTTGAAAATCCAGTCACCGTCGGGAGTAGGATCCCGGTCAGTGGCACTGCAGTGACATCATTTGATGCCCTGAGGCATCTTTCACCGTCACCCACGCGAAATTACCTCAACATCCACTGTTCTTTCCTGGACTCATTTTAAGGAAACCTAGGAGCACCGTCTCTTGTAACTGAATTCTAACGTACACGCCAATCCCGGTAGATTAATCACATTTTTTTGCATTTACCCCTATAGGAACACTAAATTAATGTACCGCTCCATACTTACAGAGTCGGCTTTAGATCTAAACAGTTTCATTTTGAGAACATTGTTGAGATTCCGGTCACCGAGGTAATGCATTGAGTTGGAAGGATGCGATGGAATCATAAGGGAAAACGCTTCTAGAAAAGAACACGTGGAGGCTAATTCAGTGTAAAAAGGAGCAACGAGTCAGCAACAAAGCATTTGTGCTGCGAAACCCACAACCCTCGTAGTAGCTCGTGGATTCACGCGAAGACCAAGTGCCCATTTCCATGACGTTTGCTCTCACGCACGCTGATTCGAACAACTGTTGTTGTAGCTGTGGAAAGACGTCTGAAGATCAGGATCAACGTCAGAACAGCTATTTGAATGGCGAGATCGAAGACAAGTCTTCTTGGAGCTTCCTCAACATTTTAAGGTTATTTTAAAACTCCTAGCTGAACATAATGCACAATATATCTCCATCAGGGAACCCACAAATAAAATGTTGAAGAAATTCGAGACAAACATGGTTTGTTTGTAAAACAAATCACTAAACTGGCTACGCCAGGCCTGTATTTGGTACTGTAAGCTGTAAGAAGAGCAGAAAAATCTAAAAGCAACACGATTAAATGCTGTCCCGTGCATGTATTATATCGGACACATTGAGAGTATGCGTTACATATAACCTACGATCGATCTATTGTCGATGATACCCTTGCAATGCAGGACGAGGCTGAGATCGAGAGACTGAAGAACTACAACACCAAGTTCGAGATCAAGAATTCAGTACTGTTTGGGGCTTGGATTTTCAAGAAAATAGGATGACAATTATCCAGGGAGGATAAGAGATATTCGAGACGACGGACTACAACCTGTATTCTGTCTACTCCCATGGATCCAGCCATCAAGCCATTGAAGGAAGGTTCAACCATCGATGGCTCGGAAGGTATCGTTCTTTACCGTGAGCCGATGGGAGCTGTTATGTAACCGACCACTGAAACCAGGCCCGATGTGGCGCACGCAGTCGGTTGCCTCAGCAAGTGCCAACCAAAGGGGACTCATCATTTGTATTCCTCGTTCAAGGGCCCTGCTACGATGTACTGGATTCAAATCGTACTCGGGATATGCATTCATCGTCAGTGGAGCTGCAGTTGGTTAGTTCGTAGACCAAGAAGCCGCAGACGGTTGCGTTATCCTCTACACAAGCAGAGCGCATGGCTTTGTTGGTTGCGACGGAGGAGGCCCTGTTCACGAAGCGGCTCTCACAAGAGTTTGGAGCAAAGTCGGAGCAGATCATCCTGAAAAAACAACAACATTGGTGCAAAGAAGTTATCGACGAGTCCTGTGTATCAAGCAAGAACAAAACACAATGATAACAGGCATAATTTTGTGGGGCGTAGGGTTGAGAAGGGCCTGTTAACCATCGAACATGCGTCGACCGATGAGATGGCAATGGTTGCGTTGACAAAAGTGATTGTCAAGAGTTACGGATATGCGGTGCGTGGAAAGACTTCGACGGAAATTCTCTTCTGTCTAAGGCTTCGATTCGGTTCGGAGGGAAGTATTGGAAACGGGCAGCTGGCAGCGACCCGCATCTGTGTTAAGTGGCGTACTAACGCCATCTGCTCCGTAACCGTGTTAAGAGACTTTCTTAACACTAGTTTGAACTTCGTCCGAGCCGTCGTTTCGAGCGCACACAGCATTTTGTATTGCTCTGAAAAGAACCCCGTATTTTCTTATAAATGTTCAGAGTTACTGCGACGTGCATTCACAATCAATCGCTTAAAAGCAGCTTAAATTGCCGCAGGTGAACTCTCTCAATTTTCGAAAATTGCAAATTTAGAAATAATGCAAGAGAGTATGAGTTGTAAAGCAGTAATTTCTTTAAAGTTTCTACTCTTATGAATCCAAGAACGGGGTGGGGGTGGAGCTTATCTCTCTCATTTCCGAGGCTCTTTGTATATTCGAAAAGTTAACACTGCAAAAAGTTAACAAATTTGAAAATAGAGATTTTTGTCTTAAGTGTAATCTTTTCTAATAAATCAGATCTTTAAAAATGGTCATGTTCAGTTTTTTGAGAAAACGCCTTCCCATACTTTTTTGATTAAAGATATGCAAATTACAAAAAAATTAAATTTTTTCAAAAAACATTTAAAATGTTTACCTCAATTTTATTTTTTTACAAATTTTGCAACATATGCTTAAAACAATAGCACAGGTCTCATTTCCGTTTACCTCTTTGAATTTTGTAATTAAATATTTTACTGGAATAAAATACCTGCATTTAATAATAGTTTTTAAAATTTTACAAGACATTGTATATCCAAACTGAACGTACATATAAGAATGAGAAATTAAAACTAGAACGAAATAATCTGAAAATTGGATTGGAATTTTTAAATATTCACCAAAATGTTTATTACATTTTTTTCTTTACTAATATTTTTAGGATAGACTATTTTGTAACCCAAACTTCCAGTAGTCACAATAATTTTAATTGTTCTTGACAATTATATTTCAAGAATTTTAAATTGAGTGTATACAAAAAATTATCAATGGAATGATGTGGCAACAATTTGTTGCTAAGCAGGTACTGATGTTTTCTATTTTATTTTCTATTCAATGTCTATTTGCTTATTTATGCTAATTTAATGGATATGTACAAAAAAAAATATATTTGAAGTTCAATACTGAATTGTCATAAATTAACTTATGAACACTTCACAAAAATTCTGTGTCAGCACAAAACATTTGCTTTATATTTTTAAAACTATTTTGCAGCAAAAGTCAGGTATATCAAAATGCATTACCTTTCCTTGCTGAGTGGAAGATGATTCTTCCTCCTTCTTCTTCTTCAACCATATCATATCTTCAGGAGTAAGATCCCAGCGACTTCTCCGTGATGAATGTCCCTTGCCCATATTGGATTTTGAATGGTCAAACTGTGGTGCCATAATACAGGGAAATCTGTAATGGATAGAAGAACAATATAAAGAAATAAATTGAAAAAAAATATAAGTAACGTGGACAAAAATTGTACAGGAACATTGATACTCCAACTACACTCATTCACGCTGGTACAAAAATGTTCTTATTCAGATTTACAAGATCAGAAAGTAGATTTATGAATTACGTAACGAAAATAAGTTTTCTATGAATATATCATACTTTTATTAATCAATAAAGCCACAATGAAAGTGTTTTAGTATATTAAATGCTGTAAATGGCACATGGATAACAGTACTTCTTTTTATTCATTACCATTTTACTGGACTGCTCTCTGAACCTTAATTAAATATTAATAAATAATATTCAAGCACAGAAAGTGTTTATTCATCTCACATGTATCAAAAGTGAGGTTATGAAAACAATAATAGATAGTAATCCAATGTATTAGAGATGAATATTTATTATTTAACTATTATTCATTCACAATGTAATATAAATGGTGCTGTATAAACTGTTTAAGCCTGTGATAAACAATATAACAACAAGAAAAGAAATAAATTGTACAACTAGATGGCACTCAATATATCACTAACCATAAAATCACATTAAAGTACTTCTTGAATTTCTTAAATAAGAACAGCACGGAACAAATTACGGACACAGTTTAAACTCTTCAATCAAATTTGACACTTAGAAGATTTAAATACAAAACCGGGTATACACAGTAGATGAAATACACACGGTACCACCAACATCCAGTTTACGACACTTACACCTGTTACATAAGTTTATTAAGTTTTGAGCGACGGAAGTAGCAATTATCGCAGGCCGCAAACACAGATGTTAAAGGAAAACGCCGATTAATGTTTAAGTGCTTTTCCACTAGAAACGTACACTCGATTTCGTAAAAGATGCTCTATGAATTAAGACTTCTTGAAATTTTCGTCCTCAATGGTTGAAGGCCTTGAAACGAGTTGTAATCAAGGATACATCGCGCCTGAATTTTAAATGCACAAACTCGAGGACGGAAGAGAGACTTTTTCGTAAAATTTGTCTGAAAAGATTTTCGGTGCCGATTATAATATTAGTCCTAGAGTACATTTCATTTCTTCTACCACTATTTTATTTTGGTAAATAGTTAAATAGAAGCTGAGTTGTCCACATCTGTAAGGACTACGTTTCGTATCGATCAATTGACTCGGTTCATTGAAAACAGAGCTTATTAAAATCTTCCACATAAGGAGAGTAACTTATGAATTTGAAAAATTAGATAATTTGATTCAAGGTATGCTTCAAACCAATAGTTTGCTAACTCTATCCCAGGGCAGACATTTTTGCAAAGAAATTGACTTATTTTCAAAGTGGTACTAGTTTCATTGTAATTTTCTATTTGATGCGTCAGTTTTAATTGTCTTTATTTTCTCAATAATCTTAATGAAACCACTTCTTAGAAAAACATACAAACTGGAATAAAAATAATAATTACATCAAAGAAATTATGCATTTTATAAATTTCTTGAACATTTATCCAAGAAGAAGTACATTCTTAATAATTATTGTACAATCTGTAATAATGTAATACAATTATTCAAACCAAGACTTATATTTAAACATTTTCTGTTTTCTTTTCATTCAATGAATTGATGAAAATTCAACCTATTCCACTAAGAATGTCTTGTTTAAATTTTTATGACTTGGGAGGCCCATAAAGTCAGTTCTACCATGCATTTAACCCTACTAATGTTGTTCAATCTGAAATAACTAAACATAGTACCAGGCATATTTCCAGATATATTCAAAACAGCAAAAATTAAACCATTGTTTAAAAAGGGCAAATAGTTATGACCCAATGAACTACAGGACTATTTCCCTATTAATCAGGATTTTCAAAAATTCTGGAAAGACTTTTCAATGATAGACTCAAACAGTTTCTCAATGCAATAATGTCCTTACAAATGCACAACATGGCTTCAGGAGTAATAGATCAACAGAACACAGCCATCTTCTCTTTTTAAATGACATACTTGTTGCACAAAATAGAAGGGAAATTCCCATTGGCCTTTTCTTAGATTTGTCAAAGCCTTTGACATCATGAACACATATATTTTAAGAAAACTAGAAATGCTAGGGATTTGAGGCATTGCCGGCCAATGGATCAAATCATATTTTCAAACATAGACAAATAGTTGCCCTCCAAACACACTAAGAAAACAAAATCTCCTCATACTACTCCTGTTCCCTCAAATAATAAATTGTGGAGTCCGCAAGGATCCATCTTTGGCAATTACTATTCCTTATATACATAAATGACATGCCTTTGGCTTTAAGGAACAAAAAATAATTTTTGTTTGCAGATGACAAAAACATCATCAAAGCAAAAACACAACAATCATTAGAAAAAGAAACTCACAAAACTTTGCAAGCACTAGTAAAATGGTTTCAAGACAACAAACTCATCATAAACACAGCAAGACAGTCTCTCTAAATTTCATGAATCTGCAATCTAAAGAAAAACTCTCACAGCATTTGGCTCATAAACAATAACCCAGTAACGATATCTCATGAAACTACCTTCCTTGGACTAACAATTCAAAAAACCTGAAATGGAACACTCACATCTCAAATCTCAACAAGAAGCTCAGCAAATCTTGCTATGCCCTATAAACCCTCAGGTCAAGCTCCAACATGAGACACTTTCGAACAATGTATTTTTGCAAATGTGCACCACACCTAAATATGGATAATATTCTGGGAAATGCACCTGAAAGCACTCGCACATTTATTAATCCAAAAAAGAATATGCGAACAATGACCAGCCACTCATAAGCTGGCGTCTTGGCAAACCTTGTTTAATAAACTAAGGATTCTCCTCTACATGCATAAACATATTTGAAATAGTGGTCTTCACAAAGAAAATTCTCATGGAAAACAAAGACACTTTTACTTTAAATTCTGATGTAACAACACACCTCAAAAGGATAACCTACAACTTTCCCCACTCTGAAACTACACTTTATCAAAAAAGTACCCTAATAGAGGCATTACACTTTACACAAACTAGGCAATGATATCAAAGCATAAACACAATTCATACATTTAAAAGTAAATTGAAAAGCTTTCCCTGCTTAACAACATGTTCTACAGTGTAAAGGAATTTTCAAATTACAACATTTCACTTAAAAAATATAAATACAATAAGAATTTCTTATTCCATTAGACTTTCTGTTGCATGTAACTGTTTTCAAGCTGAAGCAAAAGAAAAAAGAAAAGCATATCACATCCTGTGAAATAGAAGGAGAATAAAGAAAAAAAAACTGGTCAAAACTTGCCTCCTCACACTTTCAGTTATAATATAAGAAATGTACTACTATTGTTTAAATTTGATGTAGTTGCAAACATATGATATGTATTATTAATGTAATTATTAATTATTATTATGTAAATATTATTATGTAATTATTATTATTAATGTAATTATTATTATTAATTATTATTATTATTAATGTAATTATTATTATTAATGTATTATTATTATAATGTAATTATTATTAATATAATTATTATAAGTAGTAGCATTAAAATATCATATTGAAATGTTAATTATTAGCAGATAATTTATCTACTGTATAATATCTTAATCTAACTGTAACAAGTATTGTATTTCTAGGCTAATGACCCCATCTCGATCAGGTTTTGTTCAGTTTCCCTGGTCTTTGAGCAAATGCTGAGATGGCCCCTTGTTTGCTCCTGAACAGTAATATAACTTTGGCTCTCTCCACCAAGGCATCATATTGACTCGTCATACACACGATTGTAATTGTATTGTGACTCAATAAATTTATTATTAATTATTATTATAGTGACTATAACTAAACGTGCATATTGTGAAGATACATGTAGTAATGAGCACATAATTTGCAGAGCATAAGGTGCCAGTGTCGTGTTATAACGCACAAGACCAAAGGGCCAGAGACACAAGTAGTTCTTCAAAAAATTATTTAATACTGCGCTTTTCAAAAAATAAAAAAAAGTTAAAATGTATATAAAGTGATGTATGATTAAACTATACGCAAAAACGGGCATAACCAAGTAATGTGTCACGCAGCATTCGATAATATTTGTAATATGGAATGTTGCTGATTGATGCATTTCAATTTTATATTGTACATTTCAATAAAAAATGAAAACAATTTGTTTTTTCGATGGAATTATAAATCTGTTATAAAATGGGGGGAGGGAGGAGGAGATCAGTGAAAGTAAGAATAGGGGGCCCCCAGTGTTGTTAAAACAGCCCTGCACAAGGCCAAGTCTGAACTAAAAAAGTACAAAAGATCACCATACTACTACACATGATGAGTGATACTACGTAAGAATCATTCCTTGTTACACAAATCTTTCATCTTCTTAATTTATTAAGACCTTGGAGAGAAAATAGATGTGGTGATGAAAATATGAATTAATATAACATCACTTATCTGTAAAAGGAAGAAAGGAAAATATGTAAGGTAAAGAATAATAAGACAAGAACCAGAAATGAACTCCATGTTTAGAAATATGAAAAAATTAGATGAACAAAACTAAAATGTCTATCCCCATGTTAGGAAAAATTTATATTAATTAGTTTTCCATGTTCATTTCTAGATTATATATAAAAAAATTATATATATATATTGAGAAATTTTACAATTCATTTTTGACAAGCCTCTAACAGTATCAACACCAAGAAACAATAGATTAACAAGCGACAATAGATTAAGAAAAGGTTATATAAATCTGACACATATACACTTAATTACAAAAAAACAGCAATTCTTAATCTTTTATCATTTGTTTCTCAGAACCTGTAAAATTATTTTAATATTTTTTTTATGCTTATTAATTAAGAACAACTCACCTGATGACACCAGGCATTCAACAAATGCCTATGATTCAAAGAACCATGGTGTTGTCCATCTGTCTAGTCACAAAATGTAGTTAGTCAATAGTTGTGATGTCAACAGGCTGATGTTAAAAGTACATTTGTCTCTTTAATGTTATTTAGTAACACTTCATTTTTTGCATAAGGAAATTTTTATAGAATTGTTTGGTTTATATGGTATGATTTTGAAATGAATAAGTTGACAATAATTACGAAAAATCAGATTTTAGGTATGTTTCACTAAATAAAAATATGTGAAAATTCATCTTGCTAATTCATGGAACATTTTTTCAACATGGAGCTAAAGGTATATCCTAACAAAAAATAGTTTTAGAAGAAGATTTGAACTGTTGCAAGTCATAAATATGCCCTGGCCATTTTCCATGTTGAGAGTTCTTTCAAAACATTTGGGGACACAACTTTTATTCCCCTACTGTCTTTGCATTGCATCAGTTGGAAACTATTTGTGTATTCCCAATAATGCATAACATAAAGTAACAATAGTTATAACAATTAAATACTAGTATAATTTTGATATATTATAGTGATCTTTTTGTTATAATATCAACATTGTACTTATATACTAATTTACAGTTTTGGTAATGGAGAGACAATTACTTAATCAATACAGGGCATTTTCAGACTATGTTATGTATATTATTTGCTTAATGATCACTGCAATTTGTAACTGCACGAGTTCACTTCATGAAAGAAAGAAATTCTAGTGAGTAAATAAATATATTAATATTATTTTGCCCTTAATAATTTATTAGTAGTTATCAATGAAAATGTAAATTATCCATTTATTTGCATTCTACAAAAATGTTGAAGTATTTGAATCAAGACAGGTATAGAGTGACATCAATAAAAATTACACACTTAAAGCTGAAAAAAGGAAAATATGCATAACTTAAGTATGTCTTTTAATTTTCATTGATATGCTATGTTTATTTCTTGAAATACAAACAATGCATTTAATTCCTAAAACAAGAAATTACCTTTTCCCCTTTTTATTCTTTTTCTCTAATGAAAAAAAAAAAAATGTTGGATTAAGTAGGGTACACGGTACACCCTCAGAGATGCATGGCAGCGGGGGAGGGGGTCTTCTTAAGCCCTCCCTCAAATTATGCTACGTACTCTGATAGAAATGAATAAAACTTACGTATATGCGATTTTCATGGTTCGTCCTTCATATGATTTGTCCCCGCCGCATTGTAACGCCTATTTACTTTCAAAGGCAAGTTTTCTCGCTTCGCTCGCCCGAATTCAAGTCACGGCGAGGCTCTGGCCTCCGGACCTCGCGTTCACTATAAATATCCTTGAGTCTATCCACCAATAATAATAATTACCAATTCACTTTCACAAGAAATCACTTTTCAAGAAAGCCTTCAGAATTCAAACTGCCTAGTTAACGCCAGAGCGGCGCGAAGTGCCGGTTTAAAAGACTTCCGTAAGTTGTACCGTATACTAGACTTCAGCTCAATGTTCTTATATGCATAGTATTCTTTCAACTCCATATGCATTAAGGGGATAACGCTTAAAAGCTGCAATTTTTTTTGCAGTGGGATTCACCATGCCTTGTTAAATTGTGATAATCTTTTTTACTGTTTTCAAATCTGGATCAAGAGAAGTCACAAAGTAAAATGTGACGTGATCCTCTTATCACTCTGCACATTTTGTCTGTGTAATCTGAGAAAATTTGTGAGCTGCTCGTTTTACGAGTGTATGTTATCGCTCAGAATGTCATTGTATGAATTAACAGTAGAGTTAGAAAGGGCCTTCAGAAGTTTTGACAGGTAGTGAACCACACTCCTTCCACTCAATCGCGGAAATCCTACAGCATGTGATGTGTAACCAACAATTGCATTCCAAACTGGCCTCTCACCATCTGGCCAAACTCGCCATCTAAAAACTCCAAAGTATTAAAAATGAAAATACTCAAAATATACATTTATTCATATACAATTTAGCGAAATATATAAAAATATTTGTTTTGAGGAAAATACTTATTTTTATTGAACTTAATCAAAACATTTATTTTTAGGTGATATGCAATTTGGTATATGGGAACCATGGAGCACTACTTGGATTTCCATTAACTTTCAGCGCTCAAGATTAAAGGAGAAAAAAATATGTATTTGCCCAAGTCTGTCCCCTAATGATGATCTTAGTCACAATAATGAAGGTTGTACCAATATCAGTACTTTGGATTCCTTCTTTATATGCAACATTTCTGAAGTGCAAGTCACTTGTGGATTCAGTACAGGATATACTATCTTCTTAATACTGTCAAAGTCAGGACAGTTTTGAAATGAAATCCTGAAGAACAAAATTGAATGAACAAACCCTAAAGAAATCAAATTATGACCTTTAGGGTACTGCAGATACGTACCATCAGTGCACAAGAAAATTTACACACATAAAAAGTTGTCATTTACTAGTTAAGTGAAGAAATATATTTAAATAGCAGTTTATTTTTATTGGTACAAATTTAAAAAATAGTTCCAGACAACCAAAATGTAGAAAAAGTAACTTGCCTTTGGCCTCAAAATAAACGGCTGCAATCAAGTGAAAACAGTTTTCTTGCAAAATTATTATTTTTTATTAACTTTTCTTTTGCCCTGACAATATATTAACAATTTTGGAGTGGAAAACCTGGAGAACACCAGCTGCCTTCCCTTCACTTAGCAACTGGTTAACGGGGGTGACGGTGTGCAACCTATCAGGAAACAATTGGGTAGCCTGGAACTAAAGTGGTCTATGGTACGAACAGAGAAAATCAAAGAGACGTGTTTTATGGACGTGGATATAGTAAGTAAAGAGGTACTTTAACATTGAGTACTCAAAAACACCATTATTTAAACCTTAATACGACGTTTAACAAATTATTGCTACAACTTATGCATTGGTAACAACCACACACTCATCAAGTTATTGATCATCTCAATAGGCTAGAAGAATAACCACTGCCTTGTTTCCTGGAACACTCCTATGGTTGATGTGGAAGGGGCAGGTAAAAGGGGTGATGCACTGGAGGTACAAATTTTAAGTTTCTTTAAATCCTGCATCTTCTTATGAGTAAGTAAAATAGCAATACTTGCCATATATAGAGTGGAGCTCTGCAAGGAATCTATGAAACTCTTTAGGCTTACAGATAGTTGTTTTAGATCAAATGATTTGTAAATGACCATGTAATCCTCATCATAATGCTTCACATAATAGTCCTTTGACAAATTTTGAAATTTGCATTTGAAACCATCACACCATCCCCAATCATCTTAAAGATTTGGTTCAGTCAGTCGGGTCAGTTCGGTCATTCTTAAAGATTTGGTTTAGTCAGTTGAATGACACAAACTTACCCACCCTACTGTGGGACAGCAACATAAGGAGACTGTTTCCTACAATTTTTCACCAATTCCATTTCTGTTTTTTCACTAATTCCAGGGGTAAATATGTGGCTTTGCTTACGTTGAGGTGTAATAATGAACGAGATGTCTCTATCATAAAAAGGGGTATAGGGTAAATGTGTGACCAATTACAAGAGAGTGCACACAAATTTCATTTGTGTGGTAAATTATTCACATGTATATGGTGAAGAACATCACATTCCAATGGTCTATGTAAGAATGTGACTTAGACCACTTAAGAATTGACTAACATTACAACCATCTGCCAATATTAAAGTGGTACTTTCATTATGCAACACCTACGACAAATGACACACTTTAGAATGTGTGGTTTACCTGTTCAAATCAAATTAATCATAATCTGGATTTTCGCCAAAATGTTTCATAAACTACTTTAATTCTAGGCCAGTCATTTTGTTCGTAACATACAGAGAGTATATGGCAGGATAGCAACTGTCTGACGAAGTATACCATGCAAACCAAACACAAAAGCCCCAAGCTTGAAAGCAACTCATGGTTTACATGAATAAAATATTTCTTTTAATATATCGCATGTATATACATTTGTAACTGTATGCTCTTACAGTAAAAATATGCTCATGTCAAAAATATGCACAATACGATTTTGTATATTAATTCCAAACAAGAAATGAATTAATGGTCTTGATGCATATCAACATGTTTACAGGAAAAAATGCAAACATGTAAAATCCACCTTTCATAAGTTGCCTTTTTGGTTTGATTATCCTGTGCATGCTTATGTAGAATAGGAAGGCATGGCTCTCAGTAATTTAAGAAAGGAACAAATAACAACACGTGGTGGAGGGAAAAATAAATAACAACACCCATTTTATTATTATTTGGCAATCCTGGAGTTACTGAGGTAGGTGTTCAGATGTAAGCTTTCACAGGTTCTGGGAGTGTCAATAAAAGTGACACACTAGTGAAACTTCAATCCTTTATTCTTACAATTCCTTACAATCATTCCCACTCCCAGTACTTCTTTTTTAAACTTACTTATTTTTATTTGTTCCATCTTCACAACTCATCTCTTAGCCCTCCTTGGGCATTGAGTGTAATTGGAGTTACCATCCTGTTAATTTTTGTCTCGTCACGTTGCAGTCAGTGTCTTTCATCCCTTTCGCCATAGGCTCAGGGATCCGACCAGGAATCCATGATGCCTCAATTTACTTAACTTCACAGATCATACTCAAGTAATTCGGCCAACTATGCTGAGTCACTTATTGACAGTTCTCTTGATTCCAGCATCAGTCTTTTCACAATGTAAAGGTTAGCATTCTTCATTGTTATAGCTAGTCAAGTGAGTATTTATTGACATCATTAATTAATTTGGATCAACTACAAAGATCATTTGTTCCATAGTCACAGTTAGTGCATGTTATATTCCAAGAGGTGGCAATGATCCTCCCCTCCTAACATGAGCTTCGATGCTGAATTACATGACTTGCAAGGTTTTTCCACCTCCTGCCATCTCAACCATCCTGCTCCAGCCAAGATAAGATCTCAGCTCCTGACAATGTGTGGTACAGAATTGAAAGAAAGAATGTGTATGTAAGGCGAGAGGAGAAAGGCATGATTACATGCAGTCGTATAGAAATCGAAGTCACCAGCCAGCAGAGACCGTTAAGGCAGTTGTGCTGTAGCGATCTCGGACTAAAGGGCTGCGGGTTGCAGCCCCGCCTTGGCCTTGGGCATGGTAGTGTGTGTGGTCTACGTGCAATGTGCTTATGTGTCCTATGTGGTTGGCATCAGGAAGGCCATAAAAATATTGCTTAATCTCAGTAAAAATGATGTATGCAGAAAATTAATAAAAAAAATGAGCCTGTATCCATTAGTGCCAACACCATAAAAACAGGCAAAAGGCGAAAGAAAATAATATAGAAATCCAAGAATTACTGTATTTACCATTTTCTAAAAGGTTTTCTTTTTAAATATTAAATTTTATTCTTGATTTTTATTTTTATGGAAGCAATGGGAATTTTATTTTCATAAGGAATGAGTTTTAAAAATCCAATGGACCTCTGTTGGCATAGGTATATCAGTAATTTAAAAAGATTAATATTTGAATATTACATAAAAAGATCAATATTACTGGCACACATTAATAGTGACTAGTTTTTCAGCAACACCAATATTACACGTAGGCCTAAATGAAATAGTAAATTCTTGCTTATACAATATTATAAAACACATCTGTTCTGGTCGGAGTAAGCGACTTGAAAAATTTGAGCTCTTGAAAGAATTCACAATTTCATATTAACAGTTTTTACAACCTTTTAGGTCTAAATCTACACCCTGACCTCATAAACCTTCTACACCAAGACATTTACCCAGCGAGTTTTTCTTTTTAGTGCAATACTTCTAGCATTTGTAATAATGATTTTGTAGAAATACTAATTCCTGTTTTTCTATGTTCCAAAACCCAAACTAATAAGATTTATTTTTCAGAAAAAGAGATACTTTTCCCTTATCTTTACACCAGTCACAACTAGTTTTTGCAGCAGGTGGCAAGCCAAACTTCTGTTCTACTGCACAATTACTGTGTTCTATTGCATATTTAACAACGTAACTTGTAAGCAGACATACTAGTCATTTGCTTCTCACTCATGGTCATCAATTGATAGAAGATTCATTGTCAGAAGATAAAACCATGTCATCCGATACTGAATTAAGGTATTCTAGGAAATTTTACACCAAACCTTTAGACAGTTGAATAATGTAACAATGAGTAACATTGTACAATACAATAATTTGATGTTTTTCATGCTAAATGCTAATAGCATATAAATTAAAACTATTACAAACAATTCTTATCTGTTGTTTTTTAGTCACATATCTTGTTTTTTGAAGAGTTACTGAAGAAAAGTATGTATGCACTGGTAAATAAGTTTTTATTCTATTGGTTTGGAAAAACACTTCGCATAGAAAGATAATTTTCCTGCCAGCAGCTGGTCTGCTTATTTTGAAATTCCATATACACATGTGTCTTCTCTTCAATTCTTCACAGGAAAACATTCTTAAACTTCTCTTTTAACACTAGAAAGACTGCAATGCTATTCTACCTATTACAAAGGCAAGCAGTCAAAAGAACTGCTTCAAATACTTAATTAGCTTTTATCTTGAAATTAAGATGTCTAAAATAATTATATTTTGACATTTAATAGAAAACACTCAAATATTGAGTCAGAAAATATTACAAGAAATCAATAAATATAGGCACAAAAGAATATTAAAACTTCAAATCACAATCACAATGACTGCTCTCATCATTCTAGGGTTTCACACAATGCAATTTCGGTTTCTGAAAATTTTCTCTACAGCTAAAAATAACCGTAATAGATAATTTTAATTAACAAATTCACATTGCCATAGTCTTCCTTTGAAATTTCATTTCCACTTTTTTGAGAAAAGAATAAAATCAATACATTTGACCAAAAAGAACTGCCATAAAAGAAAATTTTTATCAGAGAAAGGTTCCGAGAGGGTATAAGGATACATTTTTCAGGGAAGGATTCTGACAGCAAGTGAAAAGAAATAGTAAGTTGTTAGATTCATATATTTTATGTATAACAGAGATACAAGGGAAGATAGTTTTAAGAAAGAATAATACAAATGTTACACTTTTGGAAACAGTGATATACACATATCCTCAATAATATGTACTGCAGTCAATTTCACTTTTGAGGCATATCAACTGTGCTAGGTGCACAAGACATTTCTGGACATCATAAGACAGGATAGTAAATAAAGGACAAAGGTAATGTCATAGAATAAGCATATACTCATACAGAGGTCTATATTTTTAACATACATCAAAATTCCAAACACTAGCAATGGACACATGCAAATTTATTTTTACTTAGATTTTAATACTCATCTGCAAAGTTTTTGAAGATTGTCAATTACACAGTACTTGTTTTATATGCATGACTGACCAAAAATATTCTGTAAGTGAAATTAATCATCGCCAATGTACATATTACTGCTCATCTCCGCAGGAGAAATTAAAACTAAATATTTAAGAACAGCAAAATGCACATGCAGAAATTACTTTTAAGAAAAATTGAATGAATGCAAAACAAGAATTACTAAGAATTGCTGTACATTGTAGTTCATTTTGTACTGGAACAGAAGTAATCAACACTCCTGGATTTGTGCAGTCTACACGTAATGATAAAATTAATTACACAATAAATGCAATATAAAAGAATTTCTAATTCAGATGAGATATGCTCAACTAAATGAAAATGGCAGTACGTTACACCTCTCTCTTCAATTACACACTTACACAGTACAAAATATATAACATCGGCTCGCTATGAGATTGCTTACCTGGAAAGAACAAAAACATTCTCATTAACAATATTATCCATAGAAGACCAAAAAGAATTTCTTTTTTTAAAAGGAATTAGAATAAGAACATTAAAGCAACAGCATATTTTGGATGTCCAAACTAAATTTTCTTTAAAATAAAATCTAGAAAAGCCTAATGAAAATAGGGATAATGACTGAAGCTTTAAGTCACCGCAAAATATCAAAGTAGTACTTAATGGTCACACTTGAATGTAGCCAAGGAATTTCCAGGAGACAAAGGGGGCAAGTGCTCTCTAGATTTTTGAATAGGAAAATTTTAAAAAGTATTTATCATATAAAATAGTAACGTACTTCAACGTTGAAAAATGAGGATGAGTAAAATAAAGAAGCAGATATAATGCGTTCATCTGCAAAGGTAAAAATATCATATACTGCAGGAGATGAGTTTTGGTATTGACTATGTTACTATGGCATAAGGCATGCGGTGGACCAATTGTGTGTCAGTTACGGCGTCCACTGACCTGTGTTGCTGATTTGTAAACATCACATGCATGGCCAAAGGCACAGTTAGGTTACAAGCATGGGATGTGGTGCTCTGACTTGGATCCAAACTAAATGTACGCCCTGATAGTAAACAATCAATCTTTTCAAACAGGAAACTTATACCATCTCACAGCTTGGAGTGGGCTCAGTTCATTGTTTTCGGTAATGAGCATTGCAACACTTAAAGGTTGTGGTGGAAGTCGTTACCAAGGTAGTGGTGGAAGATGTTTTCAAGGTAGTGAAAGAGCTGAAATATTTTCGTTCAAATTCATTGCTATATCTCTACTGTGGTTTAAGGTTTTAAATGTTACCATCAAAT